GCATCTACTTATATTGCCATTCAATGCTGGAGAAAAAGTAACAAAATAAAAATAAAATACATTAAGTAATTCTTGCAGGAAAAGACACGCAGCTGTGCACTGGTGGGTGCAACTATGGAGGGTGCTTTGAAAATCTCGCCCAGAACATCTTGTTCTACTGGAGTTTATAGCTCAACCTCACAGCCATCTATGTATAGCTGCCTGTCTATATAATCAAAAGTAATATGCCAGATGCTTCAAATTAAAGACAGTTAAAAAATCTATTCCAATACATAAATATAAATGCTGAGAGAGTTTTTGGTCTTAGATACTATGAGTATCAAACTATGAAAGTTTATTTACTTTACTAAATATAATCATAGAAGATGAGAACTTTGAAATTTAATCTTTAAGTCATCTAAATATTTGCATGACAGCAATATACAAAGAATTTAACTAAAACAGTGGCTGCACAGTAGCAAATCCAAATACCAGGCCTTTGGTTTCATTTGGTCTCAGGAACAGCTTCTCAGAAATATTTGTGTTTAAACAATAAATATAAATACTGAGCCATGCTCGACTGCTCTCTCAGGAAGACAAGATTATTCTGAATTATCATGGTAAGGTCAGGCAAAAATTTCCCTTATATATTAAAGACCTTTTTTTTTTTTAGATAGATCATTTACAGGACAGATTTACAGGATCTTTGGTGAAAAATTCTGCTAGGAAAAGCAAGTCTTAAAAGCAGTGAAAATTCCAATACCTGCATGACACGCTACTTCACAAATCTGACTCCCACTGTTGTAAAATCCTGAATGAGCAGGCAAACTACAAAGTAATCAGCACTTTTGTTCCACAAAAAAAAGACCAAAATAAAACCAACCAAAAAACCCAAAGATAATTTTTTCAACCCAATCATTGCCTTATTCATGCTAACCTTTCATCTGGTTTTCTATCAGTTTAGTGCAGTTACTCATGATTTACCAGTGTAAAGCTCTTTACTCATAAAAAAATCAATCAGATCCTTTCTGTGTAAAATATTCGGTAGGAACAGGGGTTAGAAAAATATTTTAGGAAATTCTCTTTCATGCTAAGTAGCATGCAACACATAGCATATAAGGAATTCAGAACACTTACTTTAAGGGCTATATCCTAATAAATGCATATGTTGTTATTACATGCAAAAGTTCACCACCAGCACAGTTTAATTGTTCAGAGAAAAGTTGTTTTAAGGTTGTTACCCACATCCCTTAGAGATTTCTCTAAGAAGTCAGTATGCACAAGAACTTGCTTATACCTCTTTGTGACAAACCACATTTTCAACTCATTTCATCGGAAATATTAAAGCACACTTCCCCTTGAAATCAAACCACTCAAGCAAACTGCAACTCTAGTAAGAAATTCATAACTTGTAAGAAAATGGAAGACAGCGGGAACAGCATAACAAAGAGAAAGGAACTCCACGGGACCTACATAGATTCTAAAACCACTACATTTGTACTTGTGATTGCAGCAGAGGTCAGCATAACTGCACTGGTATTGCAGTTGTGGAAAAAGTAAAGATATAACAAACAGACACAACTTCAAATTATATTCGAACGCTCTACCAGGCATGTGCAGCCCACAATGCAATCTGTGCCGCTCTGTCCTCACTCTAACCAAAACACCAAGATTGACATTAGAAGTGATTTATCATGCTAGCATTACTCCTCCGAATGCAGTGCACACAGACTCAGTATCTTGAGGGGGTAAGAAAGAAGAATTATTTTCCATTCACTGGAATAGAAAATGTTCAAGGGAGTATTTTGTACCCACTCAAAGTAAAAGCTGTCTAAATTAAGCTTCTCCTACAACTGCAATAATATCATTAACTTCCAAATATTGTGAACGTGATCCTATTCTTTACTATGGCATCACAACATACTTGAACTAGGAAAAAAAAATAAGAAAAAAAAATCAGTGAGAACTGTTTCAGCAATTTAAAGAAAACATCATACAACCAGTAATCCCCCTTCCAGAGAGGTTCTGTGATTGGGCTAAAACCATTCCTTCTCTCCTTGCACAGACTTGCAGCATGACTTCTAGATGTCATTTTCTGCTGTCCTAAGTAACTATTCCAATTAAAGCCATTCCTTCAGGTCCTATCACCGGTCTCCAGAGAGAAGAGATTGGTGCCTGCCCCTCTGCTTCCCCTCATGTGAAAGTTGTAGAGTGCCACGATGTCTCCCCTCGGTGTCCTCTTCTCCAGGCTGAAAAAGCCAAGATACCTCAGCCACCCTTCATATGGCTTCCCCTCTAGAACCACCTCCATCCTTGTTGCCCTCCTTTGGCTGCTCTCTAAGAGCTTAATATCTTTCTTATATCGTGGCTCCCAAAACTGTACACGCTACATCAAGTTCAATTCTCCTTATGGTCCTGAGGCTTCATCCTTTACTGGATGCAAGTACTATAGACCTAAAGATGGTACTCTACTGCATCCAACTGAAGTTCTCCCATAACCTACAGAATCCTTTGGGATATCCTAACTTTATAAGCTCACCTTATCCCTTTGATTTCCATCTTCCTCTGTGAATGCAATCTATTATTAGACATGTTTCTTTTCAGGTTTTCTATACAGGGATATCACCTATTGTTTCCATGCACATACCAAACTACACCTGAAGAGATGAAGAGACCCCAAAGAGACCTTGATTTTTTCTCTTCAGTTTATATCTATTTGGTTTTGTAGCCTCCACCTATTTTTATATATTTAAACCTCTATCATTAAATTGGGGGAATTTTTTGGTAAAGAACATTAAAGAAGCTTAGCATATCAGTTCAGCCGATACAGCACAATGAAAAATATTAGCTAAACACAGAAACCTCACTAAAGACGGTATAATTTTGCACTTTGCAACTACCTTTATAGCTACAGATATGAATAACAAAAGCCATCTGGAAGAAGAAAACAAAACCTCTCAACTTATCATCCAAATCTATCTTGAACTCCATCAGGAAATGAAGGAAGATATATCAAGAAAAAATGATTTTTACTTTACTTTGTCCTTTTTTTCCTCTTACTGCACATAGTTAAATTAAATGCAAACTCAAATAAAAAGATACATAAGACAAAAAAATATTCTTCGAGGGCTCTTTGTAATCACTGTGGTCTTGCTGCAGTCTCTGGTGCCTGAGCAAGAACTCGGTCCAAAAATATCATGTACAGAAAAACACTGAAATGCTGTGATTTCATGCCTACTGTTACCTTCAGGTTTAAGTAGCTCCCTTGGCTCTTACACTTGCAGCAATTAGAATTTCCAGACAGCTCAGCAGCAGATATTCTAGGTGTTCTCTATATTGCAGCACTAACTGGCAGATGGTAGTCAATTCTTACCATGAATGAATTAAATTCACTCATATAACACATGGTTGTAGACTTAAAGACTTTTTAAAAGCTTTCAAAGTTTTCATTCTGCCTTTTATAGTTACAAAGCAACAACAGCCAGCTATGTGACGTAAATCTCAATTTTTATCATGGGCTAAGACTTACAGTAGGATATGCAGGTCCCCCACGCTGTTGTTTCTGGATCTCATGAATACATTTCTACACTTTTCCACTTATGTTAGTCTTTTCAGCAATAAGGTTATTTAAATATATTACAACACTATCTACTCAAGAAAAAATACGTGCTTGATCAGGAGACTGGAGCATCAGACAAAGAAGAGGAATTACCTGCCATATGTTTGTGATTTACTGGTCTAGTTGCCTCAAGTTGGAATTTTATCAGGATTGTATCCTCCATCAGAGAGATGATACACTTTTCCATTATGAGGCGGGTACTTAATATATCCAGATGGTAAAGGTTAAAATGTAGGTATGTCAACTTTGACAGGTTTCCTTCTTCTTATGACCTGAAGTCCATGAGGACCACAAGTAATTAGTGCGCTAGGAAAGTCAGAGCTTTAGGTCTTCAGGGGATTTTTCAGGTTGTTTTTGTGAGCAGATACTAATTTTGGTGGTTTAAGTTACACCGTGGCATTATTATACATTGCAGCACTAGATAACCTTCTTCCCTGCCCACTATTTGCTAATGTAAGTTCTGCTATTGCAATTAACCATTATATACCATATATTCCAATTCCCTGTCTGTCTGTGCAACATTTAGCTGAGCAAACATGCAACTGAATGCATTTTAAACATTCAATTAACTGGGTTTTGCAGCTGTATAAGGATTTTCTGGCTATTGTTGGTTGCAACCTCTAAGCTGCTCTTCTTAACTTCAACACCCATCTATAATGAACACTTCTGGTTTACAAACACCATTCGAATACTCTTAAACATTACAGGTCAAAATCAGACAAAGAATGGGGGAAAGAGGAGTGAAGGTACAACGTAGTAAGCAAAAGGTGAAATTGCTGTTGTCACAGCCTGAGAACTTACCAGGCACTTTATTAAACTGCAATGCACTACTTTACAGTGTTGCTTTTAAAATATGTTAACACTATATCACAGTTCCCGGCAGCATGAAGTCTTTCCAGAAAATATGTCATCACTGTATGCAACATATTTTATAGCCAGTATAATTTCATTTTATTAGATCCAATAATATTTTTCTGAAATTCTAGGAAGTCTCCCCACAAAAGATAAGTAATGACCATGTTTTAATCAGCTGGCACAAAGTGTAACCACCATACTGCAAGAAAAAGAAGCCTTTATTACATCAAAATGTCCTCAGTTTCATTTTGCCTCTGTGGAAGAGGTCACAAATAAAACCTCTTCCACATTCAAATATTATGTAGCACAAAACCTTTCAACTGCAAAGTTATTTCATTCCAAGGCTGATCTCTACAGTTGAACCATTCTTGACAGAAGAAGCTGAATAAGCTCAGAATCCTACACATTGTACTATTATAGCAAGAAAAACTGAAAATTATGGTAACAAAGCCTGAAACACATGCCATTTGTTTCATATGCCCACAAAAATTCTGAAAAGATGACCTGTACACTTCTAAGTGAAATAATGTAATTTTCCTTTTCTTACCATGCTTGGATTTCTGCTTTGTGATCTGCCCGTGACTGGAAAACATTGCTGTAGAGCCCGGTATAACGGTTCTTTCCTCTAAATCAGACTCTGGGATTGTAGCACAGCCACCTAGTTGAAAATGGAAGAAACTTGATGGTGTGTTTATGTAACAAAACAAATTCACTGGTGCATAATTGAGGAAAAGAGGTGATAAATTAGCTGACAGGAACATATAAAACTAAAATAGTCTTTGCTTTCACTTCACAGAAACATTTGTTAAAGAAAACTACTGCCATTGTTTAGAAGGTTGATTATGTCTTAATGACTTCTCACTACTACTTATGTCATTTTGAAAAAAGTTTGAATGTATTTAGACCACAGAATATGTAAAACTGGTTCCACACAAAACATGGAAAATAATTTGATTTGTGTTAAAGATCACATTACTGAGAGCTATTTTTGTAATAAAAATAATTAAGTGTGAATGAAATAACTTCACAAAATCAACAAACCTTATGAAGATTGTTAGCATACCACAGAGAATGACATGATTTTTTTTTTTGGATGGGCTATTAAATACAGTATTTTTATTACTTAGTGCTAGAGATATGGAAATACAGGGACACTTTCAGTGTCCAGTAACACACTGCACTGGTAATGATTTTAGAATGTATGGCATAATAGATTCTTTTTATTTTTCAATATTGCTTTGTGAGCAGTTCATTAGACAACACAATTACAGCTCTCTTCAAACATGTTTAAATGCCTATGTTTAAAATATGAAGAGAGGGATAATCTAGTAGTAGTATCAGCTGAAGATAGTTGCAATGGCTTGCGGCGGAATAGGTTGATGTGAATTTATTTCAGAACAGCTGTGGTCAGTACACTGGAGGATGTGTCACTATTCCACAGGAAAAACACGGCCTTGTAGTAATTGCATTGCCAACAATACAATACACAGCTGAGCTGCATCTCTTTCTCACAGCCCTCCCAGGATCACCACTAGCAAGCAAACAAATCCATGTACTTATCTATTGTGTTCTGAAAGCACGTGTTTATAAGCAGCACATCAACTCCCAATGGAGTGCACAGACTTTTCACCTTTATGTCAGAGTTGTTCTATTTTGAAAAGACATGTTCTACTCCAGGCTCCAGAAGCAGTGCATCCAATTTGAAGGAACACAGGCTGTTCTCTCTTTACAAACTAAATGAGTAAAACAGTTAAAAATGAGGACGCAGTCCCAAGGAGGAGAGTTGCATTTTCCCCAGCAGTTTCAGAAGCACTGGCAAACCAATGCCTGATGTCCTGCAGATACGTACCACCCTGTCTAGCCAAGGTAAAGCATGACAGCTCCAGCAAATCCTCTGAAAACACTCATTACTACCAGATGAGGAACTAACACAGCATCTTTTGCTCCTAAGGAAGAGGAAAGACACAACCATATGCAAATACACCCTGAGAGAAAGTATAAGATGCATCACAGGGGTTATGTTTGATTTACAGCAAGCAAATTTTTTCACTAAGAAAGGAACATTAGGAGTGAATGTGTCAGCAATGTGCAGACTTATGACTCATGACAGCTTCGAATATTTAGGATACCTGCTATGAAAATGAAAGAGAAAACGGGAAATTAGAAAAACCTCTTCATAGTAAAATACTGTAACACTGGGATAATGCACTGATGTTGCATTAAATATAAATGTACCTACAAGCTAAATGGAAATAAATATCAGTAAACTAATACTTCTGTTCCCATTTGAAAATTGTGACTAAAATGTAAACTGTGAAATTTGAGGAAACTGAAACCAGTGCTTTAAATGTCAATTTAGATATTTTTCATTCTTATTGTTCAGATAAAATCTACCCTATTAAACACTGATCTGTAAATAGAGGATACAAAATTAATAGTTCTTTTGAGCAAGAAAACTTAAGAATGGCATCATATATTTTAAGAGGTTTTATAACACTATCAGCATGAGTGAAAACTCACCAAGTCAATTAGTATCTATTGAATTTCTACATGACAATAAAAGAACTTTTATAACATTCATTCTAACAACCTGAAATTCAGTAACTTACAAAACCTTGAGAATCGATGGCTTTTGGTGCCAAAATATTTCATTAGTCATCAATGCTGACAGTAACTGAATAAGAGTTGGAAAAGGTCTATTTGCCCTTAGCTACGAAACACTACTTGCTGAAAAGAAGCAGGACTTCCTGCTCTTGATTTTGATGTGAGAGATTTATTGCGATCTACTTGTCATGATACTATTAGAAGTTATTGCAATTAAAAGCAAAATGAACTTCTTCCATTATTTTATTTACTTGGGAATAGTGAGGACTGAAATGCTGCCAGTGACAGACTATTTTACATAAAAAGAAAATGTAGACAGAAAACACAGAGCAATACTATCAGCATCAATATTAAGAATAGTAATTATGTGTTACTTCTGCAAGGATACCAATAACTGTTTCCTATTTTATAGTATTTTTTAAATACTACTGTTTCATAAGGGCATTCCATGTGCTAAAAGCACTGTTCTGAGTGGGGCAGAATTTCACCAGGACTCTTGTGACAATAATTATTTAAATGAGTGATCAGATAGGAAAGTAATATAATAGTGATATTTTTACTTTTTTTGAGAAAATGAGGCTTACAGGATCAAGGTCTTTGTGCCCTCTCATTTCTACCTTACTCTTCTAATATCAGTATTACCTTCTAAATGAAGGAGCTACTCAAATTTGCTAAATGTATGTCCCTTAACTTGTTCAGAAGCCTAGGGCTAGGTAGGATGACCGGACCCTCATCTACACATCAACCTTCCTCAATACAAGTGGTATCCACGTCTTCCAATGGAACTAATGGCAAATTCCATTTTCTTGTTCCAGCAGGCACAGGTACACTTCCTCAAGACAACAATCAGTACCCTTGACAATACGCTCTGATTCCACACAGGAAGAAAGGAGTGGAGCTCATACTGAGACAATTGTCACAGTGAAAGAAGCGAAACATTCAAAGTAAATTGTAAACTTTCACTAGACTGAAAAAGAAACTGGATAAGGCACAAATATACACTTCTGAATATAATATTTTAACCACGGTAGGCCAGGATTTTGCGCTTCCAAAACGTTCTACAACTCAGAGGGGCAGCTATCTGAAAAAAAAAACAAGCAATCCCAAAATCAAACAAACAAAAAAAAAAGAAACCAAACCAAAACAAACTAA